CGGGTCCTTATTTGTATAGTAATAAAGCACATGATGTTATGAACAGGTTTGTTCCTCCCATCTCCCAAACTAATCAGAATGTGACATTTGACAGTTGGTTTACTAGTTTCTAATTGATGTTACATTTGCTGACAGAGCACAGCACGGGAACTGTGCATGGGATCAAAGAAAAAATACCAAATGAAATGTTGCAATTTCAAAACAGAAAGTTGTATAGTACAATCTTTGGTTTCAGTAAGATTTACGTTGGCCTCACATATGGCATAGAAGAACAAACTGGTAGTGCTGATGTCAACATGACACCATGATGGAAATATTGATAGGGAAACTTTGACAGAAATGGAAGCCTGGGATGGACACTTTCTGCAGCAAAACCAAAAGCAGATGTTGTTGATGAGTTGTGCAGCAACTGTGATGTCACTCAAAACACAAACCCTTGGCTAATGGTTGTGTTTCACTTGATGCTAAATGTGTGTGGCCTAAATAGTTTGGTATTTTACAAAGAAAATAACAAGTGCAAAATACTGTGGAGAAATTTTCTTAGGGGGTTGGGACTAGAACACGTAAGAGATCATTTACAGCAGAGGAAAAGCAAAATATTTCTGCCCAGGCAACTACAGGGAAAAAATGTGGAGCACACTGGTGAGCTAACAGGCACACAGGCAGACACAGCATCCCAAAGACCTACTATGACAACAGGAAAACCAAAAGGATGTCAACTGTGCCCTACAAAAAAGGACAGGACATACATGCTGTCAGTATAAGCAACATAGTTTTTATGTGTGAAGATTGCGTGGGCGTGAGCTAGACTCTGTTTTTGTTGCAGAATTCTGTTAGTATTTTCATTGTAGTTCATATAGGTCCTTATTTCTGATGTTATCTCTTAGGTTTTGTAAGCAAGTACATAACTGATGTGAAATTATTGACATGTATTCTAAGCACTCATTACACATTTGGTATCTTATTGACGTCTTATTTTCTTATTGAGGTGTGATAATTAAAGATTAATTTTTGTAGAATGCTTATGGTATTTTCATTGTAATTCATATAGGAATTTATTTCCAGTGTTGTCTTTTAGGTTTTGCAAGCAAGTACACAGCTGATGTGAAAATATTAATGTTTATTCTAAATGTGCAATACATATTGAGAATTTAATACTTTATTATATTGATATTTATGTTCCTGTTAACTGCACATTACATAGTATAAGAACCTCTTGACCACACAGCAAGACCAACAAAATGTATAGTATGTCCTACAAAAAGTCCACGAAAGCAAAACACATGTGCTGTCCATGTAAGGGATACCTGTGTATGGAGTGTGTGCAGTCATGTGTGCATACTGACTTAGTTGTTACATTGATTCTTTTTTGTAGACTGCTATTGGTATTTTAATGGTAGTTCATATAGAAATTTATTTCTCTTGTTTTAGACTTTGTACACCAAAAACCAGTTGATGTCAAAAATTTTGATGCTTTTTAAAATAGACAATACAGGGGCTGGGGAGATGGCTCAGTAGAATAAGTGCTTCCCTGTCAAGCGCAAGGGTCTGAGTTCAAGCCC